AAGTATTTATTATATATATATATATATATATAAAATTTTATTCAACGTTATTCTTAAAATTGAATTGATTAAAGTTGTACGACTGTAATATGTATCTTTTTTGTAAATGAATGTTTTGCGTCTTACCAATGAGATTTGAAAATAATTTAGAAGGAAATATTCGGCTAATTCCACGCTGTATCGCCTCTATAAAATCATGTCCGGTGCGCTCCTTGGCTTCTACTTTGAGAACTTGTTCTCTCAAGCCTTGGCTGACGAAGAAATTACCGTACATATGGCACTTAGAAAAAGGATTATTTAAGATTTCCAATGCAAACTGCTCTTCTTCACCTTGATCATTAAATCTATTTCTGAATGCGAAACGACTTTTATTACTGACCGCTATTATTTCATTCGCTACTGGTGCAAATGTTCCATTCATAATGAGCTGTAAAGAAGTAACAATTGCAACAAATGAAAATGAAAATTTTAAGCAGTTAAAAATCAATATTTTTAATATTTTACAAAAGAATAAGTAATATTTATACGTGGCCATAATTCAAAGTCATTGGCTGTGTAGAAAGACCTCCTCCGATAATAAAGTTATTATTTTGGCTACGATTCAACTGGTTTAAAATATTTTTGAAATCATATATTTTGAGTTGTCGAAATGGGAAAATGTTTGCAGTACCACCGATATCCAAAAGTGTTGCATCCCCACCAAGTCCTATAGATATGTTAATTAATTTTTAGGATTAATAGGAAATATTTTAATTAATAGAAAATATTAAAAACAATGCATTTCTTACCCGGTGCTGCAAGATTGAAAGGTTCCTGAGTCAAATCGGGACAATCCACCCATTCGGCTGTGACTTCTCCGAAACTTGTACTCAATTCATTTTTTACAACTACATTATTATGCAATAATATAAAATAAATGATTACTAAGTAATAATATCTTTTATTTATTAATTTAAGACAAATTGCATACGTTATGTTTGTAAATACCTGTAGCTAATTTTATTTTATCAGGTATAAATAAGTCTATTGGTATGGTATCAAAATTTGATATATTTTCATTATTCATCATTTAAATCGGAAAATTGTCACAAAATTGAAATAATGAAACAAAGAAGAGATTGTACTTAATTGTAATTCTATTCTTTTATACTAAAATATTATTCAGAAAAATTGTAGTAGAATGTGACACCTATAATAATATTAATTAAAATTTTTATTGAAAACATATAAAATAATTTTAAATT